CAATATCATCTTCAACCGGTTGTATGACCTCATTAGCTACACTACTGGTACATTGTTCTTTCACAGATCCCATCGCGTTTGGTTCTTTGGGTGACATATCGTCACAAAAGGACATTTTTGTGACTGGTTTCAGTCGAACCTCAGATGATAGCCTGCAACTGGATAGGTACCAGAATTTTAGCAGCCGTGATACCATATGTTTTGACTGTATGAGCACCTTCAACACTCTTTGGTAACATGCTTTGTAGTTCGGTGAGGTACGCAGCCGTGACATCGATTTATCTAGCACATCATCCAAACCGAGTGTTTCACGAATAGAACACCATCGTTCTTTATCATTGGTTGTTATTTCATGCTTATCGCGTGCTTCACTTTCAGGAACCCCATGGAGAAGTATGGTTCTGGTTAAAGTTTACTTCCGGTAGTTTTCTAAGGTACGGTTAATTCGATAACGCTCGCCCCATGGCATGTATAGAAAGATACGGATAGAGCAGTGTTTATTAGTGAGTCTACCTGCCGATAGTAGAACTGCCTCCACTTCAGTGGTGGAGTTCATCACAATGCGCAAAACACTTAGTGTTGGGCTGCCGCGTGATACACACTACGTGTACAGACTTCATTACAACTCCAAGTAAGTTACTAATAACGTCCCACTGGTTGAGGTCATCCAACTGCCTGCTTCTTATTGTTGTCCACTTTGATTCTGTGACAATGGAGCACAGTACCCTCAGTACAGATAGTTGTTTCTTTACACCTTTCCACATGTGGCGGTTAGTGATTGAAATACTCAGGGATGTACTACAGAAAACCGGTGGTGCTTGCAACAGGAGAACTCCGCTTTGCCCTTCAGTTTCCGATCCAGTTGGGGAAGCAGTTAATTTTAAATGACGGCTCTTCTTTGAAGTAACCGTAACCCAACTTTCGCTAGTACCGGCTTGCTCTTTTTCTATGCACTCCGTCGGGCGATTGGAAGTAGCCTGACGTGTAGTTGGGCCAATCGAACGGGGAACCGCATTTGTCAAATCTGAGCCACATGCGTTATTGGAACAGCAGTTGATTTTCTGGGCTCTTGGTGTCGTATTGCTTGCGGTGTTACTAGCCGTTCTCCTCAGGATAGAAGCAGTGCATATTGGGGAGTCTTGAGTTGTACAGTCCACTATGCTTATCCAACCGTGGTGATTTCGGTGGTCACCATTTCTTCAAACTTGGCTAGTAGCTGTCCGCATTTCTGAGGTATTAGGAGTACGCTTTGAATCAGTTGGATAGATGTGCATCCCATGCAGAACGATAGAGAATCTGGTTTGTTTAATAACTTGGCCTAACTAGATTTAACTCAGTGCAATCTTACATGGAAAATCTTGCAACAGTTACGGCACGAAACGCCCCCTTAACAAGTTTGACGCATCCTCAACATAGGTCTTTGGACTGTGGCAAGCTGGGCATCGCGCTTGGTGAGCAAATGTTACGGACCATTAGAATGACTTACCCTCGGCGGTAAGCAGTTTATCTGTTTCCGACCTTGAGGTTAATGTCACAGTGTTCACTTTGCAGTTGTGTGCTTGCAGGCTGTCCTCTCTGACGTGCTGCTTGAATGTGTCAGCGTGAACGTGGTGCAGATTGCACGAGGGTAGGATTGAGAATTTTCGTGGTTAGGCCTATGGATCGCGCCGGATGAATTTGGCTTGAGACCTGTAGCTGCTCTAAGCAATGTTGGATTTGAACGAGCGGCCGTTCGTTCGAAAGCCGTTGCGATGGTCTATCGGGTAAGACCAAGCAGTGTCTCCGATGGTTGGACTTTTGGCTCTTGGATATCAGCGAAACACTGCCCGGAACTAAAAATTCAGCGTAAATTTGGAATGCACTGGTATGTGCTCGCGTAAACGGTATCACAAGGTGCAGCTTTTAAAAGCACGACGAATAAGTATAGATACAGAGGTGTACGACAAAATGCCGCTGAGCCACAGTGAATAAACCACGAGTGCACAAGCGAGCGATTAGCACGCCAATTCGTTCAAGGTCACCCAATGGGCAATGTGCCGTTTGCTTTTTGGCTTATGTTCCCATAGACGACAACCTCAGCGTACGTGGTTCCCCATGTTGTACGTGTTAACGAGGAATGTTTCTTTGGAGTGTGATGACTAGCCCGATTGGAAAGCAAGTACCAGGTATACTACTTTATTCGACATGAAATTGTACTCTTGAAGCGGTGCACCAACTGCTAGAGAGGGTACGTAGTGGCTGGTCAAGTCAAGTTAGTATAATCTTTATGTACCCAAGTTGGTGCATTTGTAGCATAGTACATTAAACACTTTAAATTTACCAAAGGGTTACCAAGAAAACTGCTAGGATTACAAATTGGTAGAAAAATGAGGATTCACTGTCATAGATCGATCGAGCAACGATCCCAAAATGTTAGCCTAAATCTTCGGGAGTCGTATCCATTCAAAACGGGAAAGGTTTCATAAAAACCTTTATTCAGGATTCATTTCAATTGACGTAGAATTTTGTGTCCATAGACAATTGATCAGGGATTGTGCACGATATCACGTTTTTATATTCAAAGTTGGGGGGAGTTGTGGATCTCACTAAGGTTGGAAGTTGATTGAACATAATGTCTGTCAGCGTACTCTTGCAAAACGGTGATTGAAACAGTGGATAATGTGATAAAGGAGGCTCGGCGAAAATGGCAACGGCCAATGTAAAGGCTCTGCCACTGATTTAAACAAATTGCCGTTTCCCGCGTTTCGCTGACCGTTTGTTGGCTTGCACTCAGTAGACACAACCCACCCTGTCTCGGTAAGCGTGCTATTATAAGAGTTCGGTTTCTCTTTAAAGTCGGAATCTCATTTGTAGGTGTTTGACCTCGTTGTCCAGATTGTTGACTAAAGCTCTCTGCGTTTCTCCAGCATGACTCGTTGTAGGGCGTTCTGCGCATGTGTCTCTACGTACTCACCTCAAGCCCATTTCGAGCCTAACTGGTGTGCATACTAGGTAGTGCTGTTGCATTATAACTTCGTGGCGCCTTGTGTGTATGTGTTCATTGAGTAGCTAGCGCCTACTGTGGACTTGGTGAGCAATGTAGCGGTATCGTAATGGTTCACTTTTCTGCTGCACCGAAATTTACGTCTCGTTACCGGTAAGTCTATACGACAAGTTTATACAAAAAGCTGCTGCTCAGTTTCCCAAACTAATCCATGCGGCAGTTCCACATTGTTACGTAAAAGCTACTTTCTAAGAGTCGGTGGACACGAACTACTGTCTATTGTCACAGCTGCTAACTGCAGATCAATTCTACTTCGTCTATCACAGTTATTTAAAAACAAAATACTAGTGAAAGTCTGGTGTTAATTAGTCGAACTTGACGTGAGTCATGCGTGCAAATACAATTCAGTGCACAATGCCCGGACTAATTATATGTGTATGCTATTGAAACTGCTTAAGACTACACTTTCAGACCTACCCCGTTGGTAGCGCAGTCACATGCAAAATTGCAAGGCAGTGATGAGGCCAATTTCGAGCCGTAACGAACTTCATGATAGATTAATAACAGTAGTTAACCAGTGGTAGTTATAGTAGTAATAGCAGCAGGAATTAACTAAGATAAAGGCTTTTGCAATTTGACTTAGAATGCTACTCATAAGGTACAAATGCCAGCGAGACTCTTATGGAGGATGGTAGGGGATGTCCCAGTAACTGCCGCTACTGTTTGCTTGCGAACATCAACTTATAAAATATCACAGTTAGGTTTCGATGGACAGTTCCTACCGACTACAATTTGAGTGCCGATGTACGTTGAGTTCCCATGAGTTTTGTCACTCTAACTTTTTTAGAGATGAGAACAATTAAACGATTCAATGGAAGATATTGGAAAACACTAGTGTCTTGAAGTAACTGACATGCAGTGAAACTAAGGAACTAATTTAAACAGTACTAATGGTTTCTTGATGATAGATTGATATGAATCATCCTTCGGATTCCATACGAAAGAGTGAACAGAAACTGGAACCTGGCCTTTTTGCACAAACCTATTACTTTTACGATGACAAGATCTGGAAAATCTTGTAGCTCAGCCAAACAGTCCCACTAGCGACGGATACCGCTCACTAAGGATCGCAGTTGGTAAGAAGAGACGCTGATCTGAGTAATGTTAACAGTGCGAATTTAGCAGAACCCTCCATAAGGCCATTAGTAACTGAGGACACAACTGGGGAGTTTTTGTTCTGCTCACAATACGGGCGTGCCAAGTATGTTCATTTGCCACTTTCATCGCCATTGCCGAACGACATGGAAATGCTACTTAACAGATATCTTCCAAAAACCATTTGGTCAGTTACAAATGGTTTGCGACGACAGTGCTGTTGTTGACACTTGCCTGAAGCTATTTTTACGGACTTCCTTATTTTTGAATGAAACTCGTCCATTCCAAAACCCAGAAAGTGTGCAGGTTATCAATGGAGGCCATTCTCTCTATATGACTAGGTACGGCTATGGGTGCTTTCTGCATACCACTTGACTGTATACAATGCTTTCTCAAGAAAGTATTTCGGCGAACAGCTTAACAACGAATAGATTAGGAGAATTCGAGTAACCAAGAAGTCTCTCTCTAACTCAGCATTTGAACTGCAATGCAACAGGGTTGATTTGTGTTCATTGTGCTAACCTGACAGTTGCCAAAGTTGAATACAGAGAAAAAGGTGATTTTCTGTGGTAATCCCGTCGATTTAGCGAACTTGAGGTTAATAAGTACTGCTAAGAGTAGTGTGCAGGGTCAGCCGAATGCACGGGTATTGTAATGTTGTTGATGTAGTCAACCTATTTTGAACACTTCTGAATGATGGACACTTTGCGATGTTGTTTCACATTTTCTGCTCAGCGATTTGCTTAATCTTCCAACTTCTCGGCAACTCACTCAGCACAATGACCCATGGTATATTTGCTCCACAGGCTTCGAAAGTAAAGCGCAAATGGAGCAATTTGGACCGAGTTCTATTTGCATTAACCACGACGCTATGGTACCCTGGAGGTACTCTCGATGCGGCAGAAGAGGGACATTACATGGACGCCGAGCTACATGTCAGCGAGTAAGTCCTCGAGGCTCACCTCTGTTAAATGAAATTAGAAGTGACTACAAGCGAATTGAAGTTGAGCCTTCCCTCAAATGTGCAGTCCTCGATTTTGAGAATTAATTTTGTTCAGTGTGGAAAAGTAAACTAGTATACGTGTTGCATGATAGAACCTAGCCACTGGTATTCAAAGCAGGAGACGATCAATAGTCACTTGGATCCGGCACGAGACTCTACCATTCAGACCCGATAACCCCACTGAGGATGTTGCCCAGTTTGGTAAGGAAACTTCTGAAACAATACTGCTCAGCTCGGAGGAGCCTCTCATCCACACTTCGATCTACAAGTATTCACAATAATTTCCAAGAACGCAAATGCTTTTTCAGCCGTGTGCCTTCATCATTTGGGGAAAGTGAACGCTACTGTAACCTTCAGACTTCCTAGGATCGAAGAACACGATGGGCAAGCTTCGGAAGTTTATTATTCAAGTACCAATTGCTTATCTTTGTCTTGCAAAATGAACTCATTCTATCACTGTAGCAAGTTGTACCGACTATTTATTGCTCTCAGGTCCTGTGCCATCGGCTTAAGTTCATTGGTCAACGCGCACGGTTCGCCTACTGTACTCCATAAACGCAGTAAAGAACCACTAGAACTTTTCTCAGCCAATTACATCCATGGCGCTTTTAAATTCCTCCTTAAGGAAATCCACCCCACAGATCTTTGTGTTGGCCCATAATGCTATCAAGTTACATCCAACGAGCGTGGACTCCATGATTACTATTGTTCACTAAGTGATTAATTCCAAATATGCCAATAGCATCCCTCTGTAATACTATCGGAAGACTTTAGCCTGGTTACTAAGCGAACAGTACGCATTTATTGGGAGTAGTTTGCGCCAAGCGGATGTAAATTGATAGGGTTAGGAACCATGTAAAAGGATCTATGCAGAAATATGCTATTTTAAGGAGGAATTCGAATGCGCTCTGGATGTATTTGCCTGCGAAAAGACATGGAATATCATGGAAATTCTTTCTCTTCCGTGTGTCGCAGTCCTAGGACTCCCAGAGCCAGTGATTATTTCCCCCAACATATTGCTTTGAAAAACAACTTGACACTTGACAACTTTACACTACGTGTTGTTGCCCATTATCATAAAATGACGATATTGTAGGAGAAACAGTGGATTGTAACACCACTCCAACTGCTCATATCTGTGCTACTGTAAACATCTAGGCGAGTCTAGCAACTTGCCCGTTATTTTGCCGTCACTGTTTCTACCTTGCAATATCACCATGTGTTTCCTACTTGTTTTAAGTCGTAATCGACCGTTACTCAATTGCTCTATTTGGGGTCAGTTTGAGCAGGACTACTGTTTGTTCTGTCAGGCCGGTGTGACACGGATTCACTCGTTTTAATACCACTTGATTTGGTTCCTGTCCAAGAGTCTCGAGTTAGTTCCGTTGGCGCAGTGAAAGAACTGTCGCCACTCTCCTTGTAGTTAGACTAGGTTCCCTCGTCCATGTGTGCCGGCAGCTAGTTGCTATCATGGGTAAATTAGACCATTTGTGTTAAAGCAAACTGCATTTTATTCGTGCTACGTCCAACCTGTTCGACCCTGAGCATCCAGCCCATGAGGTTGGGGTCAGCTAGCGCCGTCTGCGCTTTGTTAGCTTCGTGCTTGGTTGACTCTCATCGCAAAACTTAGCTCATAGGACGAACAGCCATCACGCCCGAACTCCGTGCATGTGCGATATTGATGGTAAGATTGGCGAAATTGCCAAAGTTCAGTAATGACATAATTCGGTAATAGCATAGTGAAATAAGAAGCATACGCTAATGGACACTGCCGCATAAGCTCTGGTTGCAGTAGCTTTATAGTGGCAGTTTCAGCTGTGGGAAGCAGAGGCATCCAGCGTCCATTTGTCTAAAACTGTTATTTTAGGCAGTCAATGTTTTTGCTATCTCCAAGTGAGTGCGATCCTGCTTCAGCCAGGGCTGCCATGATTGAGTTACACGGCCCAAATGCGGGCGTATTTATGCAGAGAGTGTGAGCGAAAAAATGGATGGGTCGATGTGACCGAAAGTACTATTTAACAGTCGCGATTTCAGATGCATTAGTATGATAGTGGCGCAGATCGCTTCGAACAGTTGAAGTCTTCCTGAATTAGTCAACTGAGATCCTTTTCCAAGAATAGTGCTGGAAATTGAGTTTTACCTTAGATTCACTCCAATGTGAATAGTAGTCCACGTTGAAATTGAGTGTCTTAATCCATCCACACAACGAGTACTTCAATATGAACCTACAAAAACAGCCTATTTTTAAACGGTACGTTGCTCGGGGTGGGCGCCCGCAAGGAATCCACAAAAGCCAAGATGTCTGGCAGTGAAAACTCATTGTCTGCGATTGACGAAGGCTGTCAAAAAAGCACCCTTTGGTCGCACAGCCAAATAGATCAGTATCCTGCAACTAAGCACATACAAATTATCCACTAATGTCACAGCAACGCGTTGGTTTAAGCCCTTGAGGCAAGCAAGCGAAATGACTAGCATCACACGCCGAAACGCAAGCACTTTCCGATCATAACAGATTGATGGTTTGAAGCACGCAGACAATAAAACTGATCGTTTCCGGTATCCTTTGACTTGTTAGGCTTGTTTCAAATTATTTCCCATCATTTCGTGTGTATAAATAAATAAATAAAAATTAAATTAATTTAAATTTTTATGTGTGGGACATATTAGTCGCCTATGCCTTAAAGGGTTAATGAACAGTTCATTAGCAGCAGCAGTATATCAGCCACTTGAACTGATGCTTAGCTGCCATACACCCACAATGATCTGCGGAACAAAAAATAATAAGATGGACAGAAAGGCGACCTAGCGTAAAACCTTTATGTCCTAGACAAATATTAAGTGTGAATGCGCCTACACCTTGTCAACAACATGCCATCACAAACAGCTGGCTATCGTGCAGGAATAAGGCGGCATCAGTGAGACAGCTTCTTGAGGCTTACAGTGCCACGCGTCATAATCAGCCATTACCCCGCAGATGACACAAGACCAAACACACTGTAAGCAGGCAGGCCGACATCAAGCCATGCCATGTGACGTCTCGGGCCAAGCACAATGCGAGTCACGTTGATTCCGGCATGGAAGAGGGGAGGCACCAATGGAACCGAGTTCGGTCCTCGTTGACTTCATTTTCTCCTACCAAATCAAAGTTTTCCCACCTCTGGCTTTGCGCTACCCTACATTTGACAAATAATACAAGGCCATCTTCTTTAAGCGGGGATTGAGCGTACGTAGTACGTGCCCAAGCCAATGTAACCTATCCAATACTACCTGTTGTCCTAAGCAACTAGCCTTATTATCACTACCTAGTACTGGACTCATCCTAGTGGACACACTGGTGCCATCCGACACATCAGTGCTTCGCATGCAACGATGACCAAATGCTTGAAGGCGTCGAAGCTCCTCCGCCGGAGTCGATCGTGTTCTACCAATTTATGCTTAGCACGGGACAGTTGAACTGAAACAGTGGATGTTGAGGTAGGAGTTGATGCTGTTTAAACGCTAACCTGTTTGTAGTAACGTGGTAGAATTTAGTGAAAGCTAGAAGGCACTACCATGGGATCTTATTATGATTAAAGAGACTTGGTTAAGCATTGAAATAGCGGATTCCAAAGTCAAGTTACTTAGTAGGTCACTACTTAGGAACGGTAGAATTGGATGGGATGGTGATTTAATTCCGTATTACGAGGTTAACTCCGATGTGAACTTATTGTTCACTTCGTCAGAGCAGAAAGAAGACATAGATTGCGATATGCCAACATCTCGATTGTTCTCCTCGGTTGCAAACACAATACATGCAGAAAATGAGACACAAATATGTACATGGGACGGCCAACGTTACACGTGATTCCACAAAGAAGTGTCAAGTTACAATTCTGCACCTACAAACATTTATGCAAGCACGCCTGAAGTTGTCAGCCCTCTAAACAGGTCCTTGTGGACAGTTTACAAAGAAGTCTGAGCATATTCCTGGTAACCTGGTGGTGAATGACCTGAAGCTGCTTACCACTTTGATCGCCCGACACATACTTGACTGCCCCATGTGTGAAATTCCTCTAACAACTGGAAACTTACATAACGCGACCGCAAAAACACGAGAAGTTTACTCGATCTACCAATCCGGCAGAAGTGTTGGTTCTGTGAGTTCACGTCACAGCACTGCGTCTATTGTATCTGTTTGCTAGACTGTTGACTGCGCACAGTTCGTGGAGCTCAAACGCCTACGGCTCACGGCCATAACTGCTAAGCACCACACGCAGAGTTCCACTCTCAGATCGGCTAGCTCTGCCTGATGAGAGGAAACCAGGTCAAAATGGTCGGGCCTGGAGGGCAGAGATGGGAAACAGCCACAGTAAAAATTGGCTTTTGTTTAGCACTGTCGAAATGCTAATATTTAGCTCCCACACCTGCGATTCTCCATCGAAAACGCTTGCAAGTTCACGCGAATGAACAGTTCGGTCATGCCTAACCACAGAGTCAAAGCAAGAAATACTGGTTACTTGGAACACATTCCAGGCCATCCGATCCACTCACTGGCAAAAGATGCACTCAAGCATGCTCCAACACATACACTAACCACGTGCTGGTTGGATCCTTCGGTGGTCAAGCAAGATTTATGAACTCTTTTCTCCGCGTTTCTCGGGCTTTCCAGTGTTCGCAATACTGCAAATTGCCTAACCTTTCCCATACCTGAAACGTACATGTTTGGCCGTCTTGGCGCCTTGAGAATTTAGGGTGTCGCTTGCTCCTCTATGAACTTATGTACTTAATATTAGTGTCAATAATCTAAATAATCAAACTCATGTCGTCAAAAACCCGATGTTCTTGCCCCCTCAAATTGACCGTCCAAACGTACGCATAAGCAGAAACATAGTAATTTGTGATTTCTCTCATCAAGCCTCAGCCAAACAGCAAGCACAAATCCAGGAAATCGCTAAACGACCTTTCCATCCTATTGGGACTCATCAGTAGATCGGCCACGCCAGATCCTGCAGGATTCCAGCCCATCCCCTTGCTCTTACGAGCCAGTTGCTAATGCCACTGTGACATGGGTGAAGGCGCCGGACCACCATTGCTGGGGCTGGCTACGCCGTCTGCACCGTCATAATATGCATAACAGTGGAGGATGAACCGCGTTACATCGCAGTTAGCATTCAGTCATGCCGCTCCGGCGCCGTCACGCATGGCTTAATGATACAAGCCACTGACTCGTAAGACTAAGCTTAATGGTTCAAAACAGGGCAGAATCAAGCGGTTGTGCGCTACCGACAAGACCCAATAAGAAAATACAGTCTTTAAGCGCTTTGATGGAGGTGTGATGTCCGTCTAATTAAGTTTAGTTGCGACGAATCTTCTCAAAAACCCAACAAACCCCGTGCTACTCACCAATAAGCAAATCTTTGTCACTAATCAGGCTTAGCAAAACGAAAGGCTTTAAAATTTACCTTTGCAGTCTACCTAAGCCAGTCGCCATTATTCTTTATTGAGCCTTGAAAACGGTTGGAGAATTGTAGTACTAACAGTGGCTTGTTCTGTCTGCATTTCAGCACGAGTGTTCAAACGTCTCCGGTCTGCTCGTGTACTTTGGAGTGAAACCATTTCAGTGTCCATTAGCTGGTGGAAGTATCCAAATAAAAGTAACTTCGCCGTCAAGTTCGCTGCTAGGAGCCTTCGTCTGCCCTCCGTGTTCTCAAATATGCACGGTAAGTTTACTGGTTGCTAGTCAACAATCGCACTTTTAGCTGATCTATTCCTTCGCTCTGAATGTTTAAATCCAGCTATCTGTCCTGTCCTAATCCTGTCCTAATCGGTCAATATATAAACCGGCACAGTTTAATTGCCTTGTGAAACATCGCTTTCACAGGAAGTTATTACGACAGCCAGCTCGAATTTATTCATCGCTTTTAATTGGCACTCCGGATAGGAGCAACAATGGGTTCTGTGAGAGATCGTTGCTGAATTGCCACGGTTCCTATGCAAATGTTTACTGTATATTCACATTACCATTAGTGTTGGTTGCACAGACAGTCTAGGGTGAAGTTCCGTCGCCCATAAAAAAAACTTACTCCTGTCCCCATAAGCCATCATATTGTGGTCGCTGAGTAGCGAGTAGTCGTTTAGCGGGAGACCGGAAAGTAATTCCAGACGGCAGATAGAGTTGCAGGAAAATTTGTATTTACACAGTAAAAGGTTTCCTGTTTCTATAGCGATAACAAGCAACACTGTTGTAACTGCTAGCTAGGGGAACGAACTGCACAGCACACAGAACAATCGCGCACTGCGATCGAAATGAGCGGCAAGAAAATAGCGATATGCAACCCAAGCAATCGAACTCAACCAGCAGTTCAACAATCTGCACCGGTCGCCTAAGTGTACAATGAAACAATAATTATGGTTAGGACTTCACCCAGCCAAACCGCGTATATCTCGTGACTGCTACATAGCCCTCCCACAAAATGGACTGACTAAGCAGATCTACGTGGTGTCGTATTAATCAAGTGCGGAGTTAGGAGCGGCTGCACTCAGGTGCTGACATATCACGGTAAGCTGTATTGTTATATGTCCAATAGCACAAGTTGCTTTGCTGGCAAGGGTAGGGTGGGAAAAGAGGCGCGACATGTGTGTCTACGATGACATTGGCTCACCGAGCCGTACGGCAAACACCGCAGCCGAATTCTACCTGTCATGCGTGGACCGCATGGCAAGATCAAGGAAACGCACGCTTTTCGGCTGTGAGAAATGAATGTGAGCCAAACACCACAGCCGCACTGAACGTGTCATGCCTCCATCGATCGATAGTCTGCCATCACATAGGCGAAAAAGCTGGCAAAAGAGTAACCTTGGAAGTCGAAAGTGGGTCGCTGTGTTAACAATTGAGAAAAACAGCTTGGCCGAAAGTGATGACCGGTCGATGAGCGCCGCATTGCTATCGTCACAAAAGCTGTCATCAACTCATGAATGGCTATTACAAAACCGTAAGCTTTTGGCAGGCTGTTTTCGCTGCTAAAGGCATTCATACTGCCGGGAGCATATTATAAGGTCACAGTGTTGTTTGCCTTACCATTTCGATGGTGTGTGTTACAGCTGATAACTCAACCTTATTGGTGCATGAAAACGACTTCTTGACGGTTTGATGTGACAATGCTCTTAGATTTCGGTCTGTTTGGACGCAATGGTAGCACCATTAGACCGCACACCAATTTAGTCATTATTAGAAAATATATCTATTAGACATTCTTCTTTTGTGAACGAGCCAGATAGCCATACTTTATTCCTTCTATTATTCACCTCTTAACTGTTGTTTAAACGCTCCACTTTGTTGGCCCGATTGGTACACACATATCGTCGTTCATGGACGCTCAGCTGCGCGTCATCTTTAGCAGTGCCCTTTGCTAGAACACAATCCACTAGTTTTTCTATGCGTCACTTTCTACTTGCTTATGTTAAAGGACTATTTGGTTGTCACACAATTATTGTACTAATTTTCTATCTCTGCATCTGCACTTCTTATTCTCGTTTGTTTCGTGACACTTGTTTAAACGATGCATTTCGTTATTATGATTGGCCCGTACCCGTCATTGTAAAAAGAACTTCGCTTTACGCTTGGATTCCCACGATGCCATTTTTAAGGACATATGCGGTTTGCTCTTGATTACACGGTTGCTAATTCGTCCGTTGCATTTGACGTTTTCCTTCTGTTGGTTGTCGCAAGTGTAATTTAGTAGCTTCCCTTCATATTGCCTTCAAAACTAAAAGCAAATGTGCTCTCATATGGACAATTCCCTTTCTGGCTGGTTGTTGGACTTCTTCTTCGGTCGTTTGGTGAAGGCGTCAGTGGCGACACAACAGTCATGAATGCAAGTATTGTGCTCAAAGTCATACAAGTGATGGTGGTACAGGTTGATCAGGCCTCTGATGATGCTTCTCGTGTACAATGGAGAATATTCATTTCTTCATTTCTTTACTCATATTTTCGGAAAATGTGTAATGTCGGTAAATATCAACGAATTTGCTGTTCGAAATGCCCACCGTCGTTTTGGCTTCAGAGCAGCATTCGCCGGATGGTGTTGGCGTGCACTTTCTGCAATGTCTCCAACAAAATCTGCCTTTATTCGTTTACAATATTCTCTTTCATTTCATCAAGTGTATGGGTTTCGTTTTATTAACTCTGCGCTTCAAGTATCTCCATAAGAAAAACTCCATGGGAATCAGCTCTAGTGATCGCGCACACCATTCTATCGGTCCTCCGCGACCGATTCAACGTCCACCGAATGTCTCGTTCAGGTAGGCACAAACCCATTTCGCCAGAAGTACAGGTGCGCCATCTCTGCTATTACCAACCGTTATTCATTAACCCTTCCGACTCCACCCACGGAATGACGCTGATCTGAAACATTTTCATGTACGAAGATGCTAAGTAATGTCAGATATTGGTAGTGATAAACAACAACTTACTGGACACCCCCGGAAAAGCAAAAGCGCCCTATGACTTCTCCACAAATCCACCCAGCCCAAACCATGGGCTTCGTGCTATGTTGCACACGTAAAAAGCTGCATTTCCGTGCGTTGATCACTGCCCAAACACGTTGCGTATCTTCGTCATGAAGAAGGAATAACACCTCATCGGTGAACACAATTAAAAGCAAATTCCAGACTGTGTCAAAAAGGAGCAAATTCCAGGCGCTTCTGGGAATCGCATACGTTCAACAATTGCACCTAAAATGCGTTGAACCGTTGGCAAATTTTATGTCAATAATCGATGCACAGAAGACGTTGAAGTTTCGAAATGTTGAATTAATTGCCGAAAGGTGGGATGGCTCTTACTGCGCAACAGCGCAAGCTGATCCATCATTGGTGACGGTGCGTGGCCGTCCGTTAAGACTGGCATTGAAAAAACTAATCCGTTGATATTTACTAATATTTTGCACATATCACGTAAATACAAGTAATGTAACGAATACATGTAAGCAAATTTTAAACTGCTCGCCGAGTTAAGTGATTATTGTGCAGACGTTTCGTTGCTTGACTAGACAAGATCATCAGTGTGGCTTCAGGGGCCTTGTTCACAGTGGCTCGTAAGCGACTTCATTGCCCAAGTGATTATTAATCGAGTTCTGCTTTGAATACCTGGCTTCAATGAAGTCACAAACTTGCAGGCCTTTAGCCCTTGCGAAGATACTGCCTTGCTCTAGGTTGAATTTATGGTTTTCGGCATCCATATGCACTGACATCAGGGAGTTCTGATCGTGGCGACGAATGGCTAGGCTGTGTTCGTGTAGCCTTGTGACATGCTTTCTTCCAGTCTGTCCCATGTAGTATTTGCCGCAGTTCCGGCAGCAGCTCTTACAATTCACACCGGTTTCTTCCCCTTTGGTAAGTTTATCTTGACCTTTAAAGAGTTTACTGCGAATTGTTGCCATTGGCTGGTGTGCAACTTTAAATCAAAAAGGCAATAAAAGCCTCACTGCCATTTCAGAGATTCCGTTGGTATAGGGCAGAGTTACTCACTTTTCAACTGTTACATTTGTCGACATGTGTTGAGAAGGTTTTGTGACGCGAGGCAGCGTAGAAGGAAGCCTTTTGGGTGCGATTTCCGCTTGCGCAGCTTGAAGAGATGGCCTTCTTCTGCCCCTCTCAGCTGCAGTGTGCTGCAATGGGTTTGTGCTCGTTTGAAAACGGTTCACGTGCAACTGCGTTTATGGGCTGCCGGATGATTGCTGCTGTAATTGAGGATCAGGTCCGTGCGCTTAGATTTTCGGTAGAGTGTTAATTCCAATCGTTCAGAACCAGTTCGTCGTAGGAGAACGTCTAAGAATGGTAACTGCTCGTTGTTCTCCTCCTTCCTGGTGAATTGGATGCCATCGAACGCACTGTTGATTAGTTCGTTTGTTCCCTTTAAGTTGGAACGTTTGGGTGTAACGGAGGTGTCGTACCCAAAGTTTTGTTCCGGCCATCGGAAGTGCTATTTGTTGCAGAGCCTACATCACTGCCTCGTCTACCAGACCAGCGATCGGCGATCCCATTGGTCTTTTTCTTATCTGTTAGTGATTTTGGCCATTAAAAGCTCGTCCATGCTTTAACCCTGCCTTGGCCTCATACCAACGCGACTAACAATATCAGTGAAGCCAATTTACCTGGCCACGCCTCAACCAGACCAAGCGTGTAAACTTGTTGATTAGTTATTCTGCTTCACTGACCCAATTTAAACCTATTATGTCTATTCTAGCTTGTTTTATTGTGGTTGTATTAGCCTAATGATCAATACCTGAAAGCAAGCATGTTCGCTACTTTGTGTTTCTAAAGTGAAATGTATTGTTAGACAGAGTTACAGTAACTCCATCATACGTTTGGCGTCGAGTTTACTGCTTGTATCGGACGAGGCGTACTCCTCTAGCAGGCGCGTCATTGTTTCTTTCGCCAAGCTGATGTCGATTGAGGTGAAAAAGGAGGTAATAGCAAAAGGGTTTATTATTTTGTCCAGTTAAATGGCTTCGGTTTTAAGTTTCTCAAGGAACTGTTCTTCCCAGTTGATCGAGTGTTCCCATCCCGCAATTAGGTGTTTTAGCCGTCTCCAGAGTTTCTTTGCAAGTCTATATTTTCTGCTCCAGGTAACGACACGATGGGGCGAAGCGGCACTCCGCTTTTGTTTACTTTGGGTAAACCATAGAACCGCGGCAGTAACGAGTCTTGTAATCACATCATC